AGAGTTGGGTCCTTTACTGAATGGGGTAGGCAATCTAATGACAGGTGATGCAGAAAAGACTGAAGTAATCTGCCTTTTTCACCTCAGTCTTCACAGGCAAGGTCAACTCCTGGACTAGTGCACCTGGTAGCACAGTTTGGGGAGGAGGTGAGCAGCCAACAGTGGTGAAAGAAAAGGTTAGGAACTTGTAATGGGACCTGGGCTGAATGGTCACACCAGGGTGGGGCCCAGGTGCCACATTCTCAATGGGTGTTTAGTCCCCTTCTCTATATCCTGCCTGCCATGACTTGTTAATAAGAAGGATATCAGGAGGTAGTACCTGACTGTAGTAGGGAACTTTGAGATGGACATGGATCTCAGTGTCTGGGCATCTTTTGTGGAGCTCCACCTCCCCTACATCCCACCCCTTTCCACTCAGATGTTCTTGTAATGTTATCGGGGTAGGCACTGGGTCCCCTAGGCGCCTGCCTTCACATGTAAAAAGAAAGATCCAAAAAAGGAAACAGAACAGTCTGGGACAGATGTGAGTTGGGTGGGCTGTGCTGTTATGGCAGGGGTTTACCACAACTGATGTCCATACTGTATAGGTATTAATAAAGAAATACAACATAGGCAGCCATGTCCATCATTCATTTGTGGTCCTGCCTTCATACCGGAAGTATGTATCCACATTCTCCTAAGTCATCTAAGGCTCTTTAGGGCTTGCACCCTGGTCATGAGCCCTGTGGGTGGTTTGGGGCAACGGATACTATGAACTCCCATGAGGCCTTGGCAGGTACCTGGCATCCAGTGTTTGCAAGGTTGTCCAGTTCCAGTCTTAGGAGCAAAGGTTGGGCTAGCCTCTGATGGGGCATTCTAGGCTCCAGTGGAGGGATGCAGTGCAGGCACCTATGCTGGCAGTCCTGTCCCCCCCCCGCCCCTCCTTCCAGTTGGGGCGGGAGGTTCCAGGGTGCTCTGGGCCAATCTGGACCCCTGCAGGCCCCCATGTGCTCTGCTGCCACTGCCAGATCCTAAGACCCCCTGCCAAGCTCATTGTTGTCTGCAGCTGCTGCTCCTTGGCTCTATGTGGAACTGAGTACCCCAGCTGCCTGGCTTTGGCTCTGTCTGGGCTCTTGGCATGTGTGGGGCCCTGCTTCCTAGCCCAACTTGGGGGATGGGTGCGTGGGGGTGTGCCACCTGCTGTTTCCATGCCGTGTCTGGGGAGTGAGCATGTAGGGGGGCATGCTGTCCACCTGAAAGTCTGCTGTTTGCCACTGGGGTGGCCCGGGATCCAGCTGGCTGCGGATCACACTAACTGTCATCTCAGTAAGTAAGGACCAAACTGGGTTCCTTCTACAGGATTATTTAGGAAAGCTGGATGTGTAAAAGTCCATGGGGCCCGATGCAATGCATCCGAGGATGCTGAGGGAGTTGGCCAATGTAATTGCAGAGCTGCTGGCCATTATCTTTGAAAACTCATGGCAATCAGGAGAGGTCCCAGATGACTTCAAAAGGGTAAATATAATGCCTATCTTTAAGGAAGGGAAGAAGGAGGATCCAGGGAACTACAGACTGGTTGGTCTCATCTCAGTCCCTGGACAAGTTGTGGAGCCGGTCCTTAAGGATTGAGTTTTCTTGCATGTTGTCCCAGTCTTCCCGGAGATCATTGCTACTTCTCTGTTCTTACTTTTCTACCCAAATTAAAAGCCTGGTGATGTGTTTCCCCTGTTTTAGGATCTGGACAGTGCTAAAACAGCCAAAGAAAGTCTAGAGTTGGAGATCAGCATCCTCCAAGATAAGCTTGCTGCCAGCCAGGAGGCATGGGAAGCCTCAAAGCAGGAACTTCACCACCTGAAGAGATGTTCTAATGAACTGGATGGGAGTTTGAAGAACAGTATACAAGAGGCAAGAACTGCCCAAAGCATGCTGAGTGCTTTCAAAGAGCAAATAGCCGTTCTTCTCCACAGCAGTTCTGTAACAGTTAAATCCTCTGAGGAGGCCATCTTGGAGAGGATTCGAGCAATGAGCCACAGTGTGGAGAGCAAAAAGACAGTAAGTCAAGAGCTACTGCACTTGCTCTGTGTCAGGGGTTCCCAGACTGTGCTACATGTACCCCTGGGGGTACACAGTTCATCTGTGGGGGGTACTCAGGAGAAATTGTGGAGCGGGATGGGTGGGGGAGGGGGCAGGGGGAGATGGTACGGCGCCAGCCACTGCTGCGTGCAAACTTCTCTCCCTTTTTGCCCCTTCCCCCACAACATCTGGCCTGTACAGAGGGGTGCTACTGCCCTCGCCCCTCCCCAGCCCTACTCCTGAGACACGGTGGCGCAGGGCGGTGGGTGGTGGTGCTCCATCCAGGCCCACCTGTGTGTACCCCCTAGGGCCTTTCCAAATACACCTGGGGGTATGCGTGACAACCCCTATAGGTTTTTAGAGTTGAGGGAGAGTGCCCTGAAGCTGATATTTACAGGGAATGAAACAGGATTAGTATTCAGGGGCCATGTCCACACAAGCGTGTGTGCGCATTTTGCAGCACATCAAAGGCTGTTAAGGTGCTGAAAAACATACCCAGCACATGTGATTTGGTTCTCCACACTGCATATGTGCAGCGTCGAGCCAAATTTAGATACTGGGAAATCCTGGTATCAAAAAACAGCACACAGAAAAAAAGTGAGGCGGAACATGTGGCGGCAGCATGCGCCTCCCAAAACTGGAGCCTGGCCAGCCAGAGCCATACTGGCTGTTGGCCAGGCTCCCCGCACCTAGAGTGCCAGTGCTGGCTCCCAGGACCCCAGCTGCTGGCCCCAGCCTCCCCTACACCACCAGGAGCATTTTTTCCCTGTGCTAATCCCACATACAGAGGCATGTGCCAGGGCAAAAAGTGGCATGAATGTATGCTGCTGCTTTTATCCCTGCAGAAACCACATGCCTCTGCTCATGGGGATGCAGCCAGGGGGTGCATCTACATATGCAATTAATGCAATACAGTAAACTTCAGAGCAGTTCACGCTGGAATAAATTTCTCCCGAGCATAGTATCTACACATGTGCCTGGGACAACAGGAATTTGAGCTGGGGCAGAGCAAGTCTGTCTATCTGGGTTGACTGTGCACAGTTTATACCCCCAGTCACCATCTACATGTGAATTTCAGCTCAGTAAAGTACTCTGCCATAAGACAGTACTGTTTCCGACAGTACTATCTTATGGCACAGTTAATCAGTTTACTGCACCCTGATACCGGTGATGCTTTACTAAAGAGCTAATTAGTCAACTCCATAGTAAAGTGCATGCGTAGATGCACCCAGGAAGAGGCAGGATAGTCTTCCAGTTGAGACACTGGAATTTGACCTCAACAGAATTGGATTCTATTCCTAAAAACTTTTTGGGGACACTTTAGATAATCATGTATTTAATCTTTTTTGCTTTTACTTGATATCTTAATCTCTTTTGGATTATTTTGCTATATGGTGATAGAACTTCTTCACTGGTTTATTCTGAAGGTAAATTCACCACTGTGTTCAGTTATATTGATGTGGCTGTAGATAAGCATCATGAGGGAGCCCTAGCAAAAGAAAAAAAGTCCTCCTTCACAGTAGAGTTTTCATATGGTATGGCATAAAAGTAGGCAGTGAGGAAAAATTAACTTTAAGTATCTGCTTCATCTAGCGAGCACTGTCCATTCTGCACGTGGAATAAATCCTACTTTCTTCAGAGAGAAAATTTGTGAATGATCCTAGGATTAAAGGATGAAGGCCAAATGATAGCCTCTCCTGTGATACCTGTACATTGTTCTGACATCTCTTCCCTCCCCATTCTTGCAGCACCACATGGAGCTGATAGTGTTGGGTTTGTGGGGTGACCACAAAATTCAGTACTACAGCTGTTTCAAGATGAGAAGCAGCTTGCTGACAGCCATGGGGAAGTTGCCATAATGGTGGCTCCAAGGACTGTCCCATCTCCTAGAACCAGCAGGGTTGACGAGAAGCACATGTAGCTTTAGAATCCTACCTGTTTTCACTTCCAATGCATCATTTGAAATGATCTGTATAGAATCTAGCACTAATAATGCATGATCCTAATTTGGTGTTATTTAAGATTTAGTTGCTTCCTTTAAGATAGCTTTATTGTATCATCATTTTAATGGAATTTCTAGCTTTTTTTTTTTTTTTTAAAGGAAAGAGCTAAAATTCCCCCAGGTGAAATTATTTGTTATGTATTAGTAGAACACAGTGCATTGCCCATAATATACAATAGAAAATGTAGCAGCTTTAACTGCCTCCTTAATGCATCCTAATCTGTCACTTAGGGCCCTGCTTCCCTGTGTACACCATATCCCATAATCTCATAAATCTTATTTTAGGATGAGATAAACTTGATAGTCACATCCAGATGTGTAGGCATGTGCAGTTTGTGGCATCACAGACCTCTTTGTGGCACTACAAACTGCATGCCCTGAATGTTAAAATGTGCCCTGTGTTGCAAATTTTGCTATTGGGAAATCACTATAGCAAAAAAAAAGCAGTATGAAAAAAGTGTGGCGCATGTGAAAGGAGTATATGCTAGCAGACACAGAGGCTTGGTCCTCCCAGGAGACACACTGGCTGCTGGCCAGAGCATCTCCAGTTCTTTAGTTGTCCTTTAGCTCGTCCAGCATGCCAGGAGGAGCAGGAAAGGCCAGTCTTCTCGAAGCGGAACTATTTGCCCCACACCAAAGCGCACATTCAGGGATGTGCACTGCGGCAAAAAGTAGCAGCACGAATTTTTGCTGCTACTATTTTTGCTGCTGCAAGCTGTGGGAGAGCACAAATTGTGCCTGCTACTTTAAGAGGTTTCTGGAAGGCTTTGATTAGCTGGCAAGTGCAGTTTGGCCCAATTAGATGGTCACATGACCATCAGTGGAGATGAGTCATCATCTCCATCACCAGAGTGGAGGTGGGCTGGGCAGCCTCAGTATGAGCCCAGACCCTAGGAGCAGAGCTGGCAGGTACACCTAGGGAGCCAGAAGAGCAACATCACTCAGCCTGAAGACTACAGCTCCTGGAATACCTAGAGATTAGAGTAGGAACTATGGGGATGGAGGGGGTTCCTGGTCCTGTGTAAGACCTGAAACTACACTGCTGGGGTTGGATGGTGTGGTGGGGCTGCCTGTGGTTGGGCAGTGTCTGGGAAACGCCACACCTGTGCCTCCCCAGTGAAAGGTGAGGATGGGGTGCTATAAAGCCTCAGCCCCCATGGCCTGGTGGGTTACCCTGTAGAGGGGACAGGCTTGGGGTCCAGGTATGTCAACAGACACTGGAGGCCTGAGTGGGCCGTAGGTTGAGTGCGAGAATGAGTGGGATCCAGTAAAAGGGGCATTGTGAGTGGGATCCAGTTATGGGATGTGAAAGAGGCCCAGCATAGGGGCAGAGTTTGGCCCTGGAAAGGGCTAAGTGTGAGTGAACTGTTTGGATGCCATCTGTGAGGCATGGGACACAGTATAAGGAGAGGTTTGGAGCTGTGTATTATGCCCTTGGCATCTGCCAATAAATGGGCAGCCTCCCGCCTATGAAGAACTAGTCAGTTCCAAGAAAGTTGTGGTAGGTGAGTCAGGTGAGTGGACTGCCCTAGACAGGTGGGAGGGCCAACATTTGGACCGGCCTCGGGAAGGCCCTCTGTCACACAAGTGCATGCCCCTACATGTGGGGACATGCGTGATAGGTCCAAATGCAGCTCTTTGTTTGTGGTAGCTATAAGAAATAGCAAAGTATACATTTTCACACAAAGCAAGGGAAATGGAAGCCTGCTCAAAAATGTTAATGTTTTTGAGGGACTTCAGCTGGTATTGTTTAGGAAGGAATATAGGCATAAGTGGATGAGATGGAGAGTTCAGACGGCAAAGGACAGTACACTGAATTAGAGAAGGTGTCTTCAACCACAGCTTGTATAGCAGTGATGTGTGACCTTGGAAGAAGCCTAGACAGTAGGCCTTTTTGGGTTGGGGTGCTGGCTAGAGGACATCTGGAGCTTCAAGGAGGGAAACAGCCCCTAGTTTCTTCTGTGCTTAAGAAAGCAGGACTTCGTATATTCTTGTGAACAAACTAAATCACACCAAAATGTCAATGTCAATCTTGTCTATAAAATGTGGTGACATTGACACCAAAATGTCAATGTCAATTTTGTCTATAAAATTAAATGTCCTACAAGATCCCAACTTCTGGCTAGCCACTTGGGTTGCAAGGGGGGATTCTATTAAAACCGAAGTACTGCTGTGCTTCCAGGCACATGGTTGCACAAAGATCATCACTGCCATGGAAGTTTCTACTCCATTTATGAGGGTGTGCATGTACTGTGCCAAGGGAACATTGGCAGATATGTTTTATCGTTTAATAAAACATTACACATATGAAGGAAATACAATTAAAAACCTTTATAACTGCCAAATCAAAAACCATTTTTCACTGAATCACTGAAAAACATCTCTTAGGGTCTGTATCCCTGCCAAATTTTAAGTTTCCAGCATGGTCCACCAAGGCGATACTTTTTTTAAGTTATGAAAAGATTTTATCAGCAGAATTTTTTTTACTTTGTCCTTCACAAAGTAGCTGAATTTTGATGAAACTCTTTCCTTGATTTTTTGAGAGTTAGTGTAACCAAGTCTTTGAGAGAATTATACGCAACTGAAAAGGATCCTTTGGAAAGGAAGCGTGAGAGCAACTTTTAATGGAGGTGTCCTTTCAGTTTTTCCTATACTAATCCACCATGAGGTATTGTCATCACCATTGGCATGCTTCTCCAATGAGTATTCTAGTTCCAATGAAAATCTCATGTGAGTGTTTGTTGATTGTTTGCTGTCTTTTGGATAATCCATTTGAGTGGGATGTTGCTTAATTCGGATGCTTCTGAAGGAACAGATTTAAGCCAAGTGTTAATTAATGGGAAAGACTGTCTTTAAATGATTTGTGTCTTTTGTATGACAGTCTCACACTGCATCTGTCCTTTAGCATCTCCAGCCACTTTAGGTCTATTTGTGCCGGTGGTACAGTACATGCAGAACGTGTGGGAATTGCTTCACC